AAACAAAAGACAGGCATATGAGATGAACATTTACCTGAGGTAGATACACTCCTTGGAGAGAACAATCATTGAGAAAGAAGGGCTTCCTATGCACAGGGAGACAGCTCATGGGACAGGAGTCCATGGAGTGATGGACACTGGGAAGAGGTAACTATGGGGAAGGATTGGGAAGGGAGCTGTTGCATTGTTGCAAACTGTGGTCAATGTTATGAGACAAAGTATGTGTAAACTACTGTATGGAAAGAGAATTGGCTCTGTAAATATTCACCAAAATCACAATAAAGAGAGAGAGAGGGAAAGAGAGAGAGAGAACAAAATAAATAATTTTAGAACAAAAAAATGAGAATTGAGGTTACTAATTAGTCTAATTTAACATAGTTTAAGAAGGATGCTTGCTGGAGGAAACAAACAACCCTAATAAATCTGTGTGGCTGAAGGCCACTGACCGAATGAATTGCTTATCTGATAAATGGGTTCTTTATGTTATCCCTGTTCTCTCTTGTGAAAATTCTTTACAAGCTACCTCAGAGTTGGCCAATCTGGACAAGGTGGCCACATCCACACCTGATGAAGGATGAACTGAGATTTTAACCTCATTCTGATCAATAATCCTTGGACAAGTTAAGATCTACAAGACTTGAAAAAGGGACCTGCTACGCTTCCTGAAAGATGCTGTGATTCCATTGAGGAACAGGACATTGACCAGAAACAAGTTTTCAAGTTATCACATGGGAGTATGTCACAAAGTGGTGGAAATAAACCAAACAGTATGATCCAAAGAACAAACACATCCCAAAATCTTCCAAGAGAATCAAATAAGAACATCGTTCCTTATAAAGCAGCACAAACAGTGTGTCGCTCCTGAGAATGTGCCTCCCATTCCTCCAACCACAGAGATTGTAATGGAAGAAGGGACCAGCTCTGAAAACATTCACTTGTGTGTGCTGAAATCCCAAGGCTAGAGGGCTACCCACACCCAAGTTTTAGGAGCAGCAGCAATATTAAATCAGGCCCATTCTGGATGGACACAGGTTCCTCTGAAGTGCACCTTTACATTGAAGACCTGGATGGACTCCCTGAACCCACTTTCGACTGCACAACAGTTTAGGAATGTCACACTAGCCCTTCCTCCACCTCTTCCAATGACAGGATTCACATACTACCTTCCAGCTCCCCAGTCTTCATGGCTGCTTGAACAATTTCTCTTAGAAATATCAGCAAAAGCCCGGTCCCCATGAGGCAGAGGTTAAAGAAGTTCCAACGTTCAAATTCCTGTGTCACTCCATCATTTCACACATTAACTCCTCCTCCTCCTCCCAGGAATCTCCCCCATCTTAGGGTTCTGTATTTCACTGTAACACACACAGAACTCACAGACACACAAGGCATCATCTCACATTGTAGTGGTGGAGGCTGGCAGGTGGCAAGTCCCAGGTCTGTGAGTGGGTCTGGAGGATCCTCCCGATTCTTGGGGTTTGATGAACTCTGATCAGCAGATCAGATGATGGCTTCTGTCCCCAATCCAGGGGTGAGATGAGGATGAGCCAAAGCACAAAACCAGAGCAAGTGGAGGGTGAACCTTCCCAGGAGATTCGTAGGTATACCCTCAAGGAAGCTAAGTGTGGGGATTTGAGTCATACCCTCCCTCAAGGCACGACTCAAGATCTACCCTTTCTGTGTTGCTCCAACAGAAATAACCAAAGTGGATGGCTTTAACAATCAGCAACTACTCAGTTGCTGAAGGCAAACCCCACCACAGAGCCGATCACCAGTCATTGTAGGGAAGACTACTAACATCTGCGTGGCCAAGTTGACACCCAACCTTAACTACCACACCACCCCAAACAGGCATGGATAAGAGGATTTACAATACATCACAGAATGGAGGACAATAGCTAGAAGGACCACACCAAGCAATTCACCACAATCGCCATCTCTGAATTTTCTCTCATACATAAAACCCATCCAACCTGAACACATTACTGTTGTTTGCATCTTAAGGACCCAGACTAACACAGACTGTGTGACAAACTCATTGATAATATGAAATGTTTCCATTGGCAAATATAAACAACATACAAACCAAGAATTAGGTGTCCATGCTGAACTAGAGAAAGAAAACTGATTGGATGAAAATGAGACAGCAGAGCAGTGCTGAGTGTGACCCACACCCTCCTATGTGAGGGGGACGGTCAGATGTGAACCTCATTCTGCTTGTGCATGCTACTGACCATCCCCTCCCCACCTTCTGGGCTCCCCCCTGACTCCCAAAGGGGGTCCTAACAGGGAACCCCCTGAGGTGTCTGCCCTGAGTCTGAGCTTTCAGAAGCAGGTCATCAGGCCTGGGTCCCGAGGCCAAACTGGTGGCGTCAAACCATCAGCCTCCAGCTCGGAGTCCAGAGCGTCACCATCAGTGCTGCCCAGGGGCTCCGTCTGCCCTGAGCCTGATCGGACAAGACTCCTCAGATTTCCCTGAGCTGCTTCAGAACTCAGAGTGGGACCCTGGCGTAGTCCTTTCCCTCTACTAGACTGCTTTTCTGCGTGTGAGAATGCTTCCTCCTGCTACAACTTTTGAATTCACAGATGGTGAGGGGAGGGACACATAATTATAAAAATAGAGATATTCCCTGGGGAAACAGTGAGATAGAGGACAGTCCCCAGATCCCAATAGGATATCAGCCCATAAATGACATAAACACCTGTTCCTGGGTCTGAATTCTGAGCTGGGTGGGTCAGGAGTGCCACCTGCTGCATGTCCCTGTCCCTACAAGGGAAGTTTTTTGTCTAGGCTCACACTGACTTGTCCTCACTGTGTCTTTTTGCACAGTAATACACGGCTGTGTCCTCGACTTTCAGACTGTTCATTTGCAGATACAGCGTGTTCTTGGCGTTGTCTCTGGAGATGGTGAATCGGCCCTTCACAGAGTCTGCGTAGTATGTGCTACCACCATTATAGCTAATCAATGCCACCCACTGCAGGCCCTTCCCTGGAGCCTGGCGGACCCAGCTCATGCCATAATCGCTGAAGGTGAATCCAGAGGCTGCACAGGAGAGTCTTACAGACCCCTCAGGTTGCTCAGGCCTCCCCCGGACTCCACTAGCTGCACTTCACACTGGACACCTGCAAACACAGAGACATCCCGGTCAGGAAACCATCACACATGTCCACTCTTTCTCTAATTCATGCTCATTCACATACACTTGCTCCCCGTAAAATGACCTTTTAAAAGGGCAACAAGGAAAAGCCAACACAGCACAAACTCCATGGCGACTCGTCTGTGTTCAGTCCACATCACTGAATGGGGACACCTGGGATCCCGGGCTGGGACTTCACTCCCAGAGCTGCAGGGTTGGGGCTGGGCTGGTTTTCATCTGGAGAGGGATAGGCCCTATTTGCATATCCTCCTCCTATATAGCAAACTATTGGGTTGGATGACTTCAGAGAGGACAGTGATTCAGAGCACACATAACAGTTCTGGGGGAGTTTGATGACAATGACAGTGTTTGTGAAAACAATTTCTTATTATGTGATTGTGCTGAGGTAAACCCTTAGTTCCCATTATCTTATTCATTTTCACATATGAACACAAACCATATAAGGTACATGTCAACACCACCTCCATTTTCCAGATGTAAAAAACAAGTTGTTCACTGCAATCTGTGTGGTGTGAAAAAGCATTTACTAGGTAACAGTAATCCCAGGATTTGAGTCTGTGCTCCTCACCACGCAAATGACTGCTACCCTGAACCTCCTCTAGGACAGAGATGGAATAGGTTACATCTTCTAGAATTTGTATAAATGGAATTAACTATGATGTAATGTTATACGTTTAGTTCCTTCTCCTCAGTATTATGCTTGGGAGTAATTCCATAATGTGTGTCTTAGTGGTGAGTAATAACCAGTGTATATGTATACCTCAGGAGCTCCGGTCACATAGTGGTTAACACACCTGGCTGTCTGCTTTCGTGAAGATGTACAGCCTTGGGAACCATAAGAGACAGATCTACTCTGTCCTATAGGGTCGTTATCATTCAGAATATACTTTGTAGCAGGGGTTTGGTTTCAGCTTTGGCATATACCTCCGTTTGCTTCTTTATTCGTCTTTTGAAGAGTATCGCATTGTTTCCACTTTGGGATTTTACAAGCAAAACTAAAACCCCTCTTGGAGATGTTGGGATCTCAGAATAGGATTACTCTTATTCTCACAATAACCCAGGAAGGTGATTAACAGAATCACCATTCCCTCCAGATGTGGTGGTTATGTTTTTGGGTCAACTTGGCTGGGCCTGGTTGAGTGACTGGGCAGCTGGATGTAGTATTCCCCATGATGAGACCGGTAATCAACTCCATGGGGGAATCTACTAGTAGTAGCTGAGTAGTGGCCTTAGGGAATGTGGTCTGATTCCAGTATATAAGAAGAAGCCTTGGGTAATGCTCTTTAGCATATGACATTCTTGGACCCTGCATGTAGTCATGTCATTGTTCAGCAGCCTGCCGTGCTCTGCCGACCTTGGGACTTACAATGAACTTGAATTAATGGCCTGCCATGAGGTTTGTTAACATTGGGACTGTGCCTTTTTACTTGTCAACCTTGGGGTTTTCAGCCTCAGCAGCCAGCAGCTGTCTGAGGGAAGAAATACCTCTAGCTCCAGTGGGCTGGGAGCAGGAGGCAGAGCTAGACCCCAAGGTTGAGGGGCTTTCATCCAGCCCCAAGAGCCTGGAACTTTGAACTTGGATTTAAAGACTCCAAACTCCTGTTTGTTAAGGCAATCCCATTTGTA